AAAAAAAAAAAAAAAAAAAGCAAGCGCTTAAGAGGGGATTTACTTTAAGTCACTGCCCATTCCTGTCTTTGAAGGGAAAAGCTGAATTGCTGCTTATCACGTCACATAACAACTGAGGGAAGAGACGAATTGGCAGGCTACTGGTCTGCCAGGGAAGAGTCTCGAGGTTACGTTGTGCGCGAGCGGTTTTAAAGCGGTTGTGGGGTTGGCTGCGTAACAAATAAAGCAGAGCTCTCCGGAGGTGCCTGCACTTGAGTAACCGCACGTCAAGGGCTGTTGTTAGCAGCCTCCTGCGAGATGCAGAGCAGGGGGAAAGCGCCGCAAGCTGGCAAGCGTGCACGTATGGCAGCGGCAGAGCGTGCCCGTCCAGCGCTTCCTGGGTGCGTTGGGCCAGAGGGGTTCCTCCTCCTTCCCGAGACAAAGATGAGCCCAATACTAAACCCAGGAGGTTAGCAGGTCGTAATAAACCGGGTTAAAAACCTGGTTTTGTTTAGTCTTGAGGATTTTCTTTTTTTTTATTTTAAACAAGAAAACCCTTGAGTTGACAACAGCAGAGATTTCGTGCTCGGCTTGAACAAAACGTCAGATTGCCAAGATTGTCCGCGTTCGGCAGCGAACCGGGAAAGCGGCTGTGGCTGCGGCTAAGGCAGGGCAAGATCATGCCAGTGATCCTGAGTTTTTGATTAGTAAGGCAACGAGGTTAAAAAAAAAAAAAAAAGCAGGCTGTGAACACAAGTGACCAGTGAATAACTCATGGTGGAGTTAACAAGTTGCTCTTTAGGGCTGACATTTTTTTAACTTCTTCCTTACTCTGCTGCTGGAGAAATAGCTGTTTGGCCAAGCTATATAATCCCAACTTTTGAGGGACTTTTGGGGACGTTTCGAATGTTGTATGCTCTTTTACTGAATCGTTCTGCTTGGCTAGGACCGTGCCGTGAAGGGGTGGAGGGCTGCGCACCGCGGCGGGCATAAATCCGTTCCCGCCTGGGCGAAATGGCCCGTCTTCAGGGAGACCCGGGAGGGGGGGCACATCCATTTCTCCAAGCAGTGAGATTTTTTTTTCCACTATTGTATAGTCCATTTATTATTATCTGTCACATATGTTTTTGGACGGTGAATGATTCTTGCGGTATTTAAAAGATACCGCCGGGAATTGTGCTGTCAGCACTCCAAGAACAATGAGGAAAGCCAAAAATAACTGTTTACTTTCAGTAATGACAGCACACAGGCCTCCCCTGGGGTGGGCTCTGGGCTCGCATCCTGGCGCGAGCCCGCCGGGGCCCACGCTCCGCACATCAAAGCAAGCCTGGGAACAGCCGAGGTGAGAGTTCGGGGCGCACCTGGCTTTTCATCCAGACAGGCTCCGTTTAAAAAAGAAAAACAAGAAACCTAACCGTTAGATCATTGCTTTTTATTTCAGACGGTTCATATTTTTGGTTTCCTCCCGTCCTCCCTCCGTTTTGTTCCCGTTCCCACCCTGGGAGAGCTGGGGGGGGG